GAGTATGTTACATGGACAAGGTATCATTTCATTACATGAAGGACGGCGTATGCAGATGACACAAATTTACGTGTTGAAACTAAGGAGGGCCTGAAGAATTTGCTGCAGAGGGTCATGGACTATAGTCTGCAATATGGATTGAAACTCAACATAAAGAAAATGAAGATTCTTACCACTGGACCAATTGGCAGCAGCATGATAGGTAAAGAAGAGATTTGAGATTGTTAACAATTTCAGCTTGCTCAGTTCCATTATCAACACTCTTGGTACCAGCAGCTAGGAAATCAAAAGATGAATTAATATTAGGAAATCCTGCTGCCAGAAACCTCTGTACAGTATTGAGGAGCAACAATGTCAGTGTAGAGACTAAGGTGCACCTGATCCAGGCCATTGTCTTTGCAATTACTTGCTATGCTTCAGAGAGCTGGACAATGACCAAGGATGACTGAAGAATTTATGCCTTTGAGTTGTGGTGCTGAAGAAGAATATCGAACATACCATGGACTTCCAAGAGAACAAATGAGTCTGTTCTGGAGAGGGTTGAAACCAATCTGCTTCTTGGAGGCAAGGATTTTGAGGCTGTCTCACATACTTTGGGCATGCAACCAGGAGGGACCAGTCTTTGGAGAAGGATACCATGATTAGAAGGGTTGAGGGACAGCACAAGAGAGGAAGACATCAGATGAGATGGATTGCCACAATAACTGGGGTAATAAAAGGTAGGTGTGTCAAAGACAGTGAGATTGGTTCAGGATAGAGCAGGGTTCAGAGCTATTATGCATAGGGTGGCTATAAGTTATAGTTGACCTGACAGCATTTAACAGTATCTTAGGGAGCTGCCACTGTCAAGTCTAGGGAAATGTGAATGAACAGGGATAAAATTCATAAGCTGTAGATGAGGAAAATCTGACAGGAGGGATAGGAATATGAAAAAGGGACCGCTCGTGTGATTTTCTCAGTACAGAACAGTCAGTGTCAGTGGCTATTCACAGGAGTCCAAAGGCCCATACACTTAACAAATTAGTCTAGATGCTAATCTACTCAAAACTTTCTTGGTGGAGCAGAATAACCACTTTCCATAAATCTGCCCATTGGGCAGTTCTGATACGGGAGTACTAGTCCTTCTCTTTGGGCACATGGCCAGGAGAGACCAGTTCTTGGAGAAGTACATCATGCTTGGAAGGGTGGAGGGATAGCACAGGAGAGGAAGAACCTGGATGGATTGATACAGTATCTGGGGCAATGGGGGTTGGTGTGTCACAATTAGTGGCTCACAACAGGGAAGGGTTCTGAGCTGCTGTACCTATCGCAGCCAATTTAATGGCACATAACAACAACATACTATTGGTTGTTTTTTTAAGCCTCTTGTTTAAAGTAAATAAGACCTCAGGGAGGGCCTTTACATTTAAAGTTCATTGTTATATTTTGGAGGAACATTCCGCTAAGTACAGCACTCTTCTGTCAATATGCTGTACTGACATTAACCTGTGCTTTCTGTGATGCTGAACCTTGTGCCATTGGGTTATCAAATGCCATAATGGTTACCCATGGTGGACAGTGTTTGGTGGAGCTTTCAGTTTTAAGACAGGTTTGGGAGCAGGAGTGGCATCCACTTCCTAAACAACATGCCTCTGGAAATTATCTAAATTTTGATAAATGACAATAGTTACAGAAAGGCTTCAGGCCTTTTGTGCACAGGGTCGCTATGAGTCGTGTTCGACTCGATGGCAATCAGCAAGTCATTCTCTAGTACTTTTTTTACAATCTAGGAGAAGGTAGAAAGGAGACTGGTATTAGGTATACATCCAACTCATTCTCTGCTGCGTGTAGTCATCATGTTGTGATAGTGGAGTTACGGGAATTTGGGGTGAATACTATGTGAATCAAGGAGTTGGGGAGGATAGATCACATGTATGAAGGGCTGCTGAAATGAAATATTTATAAGTTTTGTGACTTTGAAGGGTCCTCTAAAGTGGCTTATCAGCTTGACAAAGCTACACAATGCCTATATGGCCAATCAATAAGACTAGGAAGTAATGACTGAATGAACCTTTTTAAGGAATCACTGGCTATCTAAGGGTGGAGAAAAGTCCTTCTCAAAAATTGCTGAAATCATATCTAAAACCACGGGTATCACTTGGCAAGAAACTGTGGCTGAAGAGCCCTATGTCAGTGTTCTAGAGAATGCACATGGTATATTCACAAAATACTGCACAGCAATGAAAATAATGAGCTTGTACAACATTACACAACATGGGTAACCCTGGAAGACATTATAATGAGTGAAATGTCTCAGTCTCAAAAGGACAAATAATGCCTACCACCAAGGTATGAGGCAGGACTGACACGGGGGTGGGGGGGAGAATAGGAAAACAGTGGATACATAATGAACACTGTATTAGGACAGATGAAGGAGAGAATGATTTAAAAGTAATATATGATTAGACAACGGTCCAGAATAAAAGGTACATTACAAAGAGGACTGGGTGAGGGGGGAAGGGAAGGGAAGGGAGGGAGGGAGGAACAACAATGAATGAATGAAAATTCAACTTTTCTGTAAACTTTCATTAAAATCACAATTAAAATAAAAAATGAAAAAAGAATGCATTTTAATTCAATGAACCAAAGGAACTGGTCATATTTTCCAGGCTGAGTCATACTAGGTCAGGAAAACACAAAATGACACTCTGGCCAACATCTTTAGTCAAGATCATACACTAAACTGTTAACCACACAGTAGACCATTAGAAGGCCACTGTTCCCTCAAGTAGTATTATCATAAATATAATTGGACTCAGCATACCTAATAGACCAGTTACTTTTTGCCCTCCAGACAGGATGAGTGAACAGACATCTTGGAGATCTAGTACGAAAAACCAAGGCTGGTCAGAGAAGAACTCTGGGACAGTGGGCTGTGCTTTCCTGTTTAAGGCCTCAGGCTGCTGTGATTTCAGTGAGGATGCTGCTCCTGAGGTGATCAGGAGGAATGATGCTCTTCACCCGGAAGCAGTCCTTTCCCAAGTGGCTCAGGTGCAGGTCAAAGTATCTCTCATTAAGAACAAAATGGACTCGTTACTCTGGGTCTTCAGAAACATGATACTCTGGGACTTAGGGTAAGGGAACTAGTTAGGACCAAAAAGAATAGAATTATGTGGATAGTACTGAAGGCAGCAAACATAGTTTTCCCAAATTTATCACAGAAAAATGAACTCTGGTAACCTAATGAGTAGGAGTTGTACTGCTAACCCAAAGGTGAACAGTTCAAATCCACTAGCTGCTCTGTGGGAGAAAGGAGGGCAATCCTAAATTCAGCTTCCATTTAATAAAGGCCACCTTTGTATGTACCCCAAGGATGCATTTCAAGCTAAATTCCATTATATTCATTTCTGTGGCTTAGACCTGAGATGCAGCATTGTGCAATAAGCAGGCTGCCCTACTTAATGGGCAGAATTTCCACAGAGCACGAATTTACCACTTTGCTTCTCAGAAGGACAGTTTACTTACTTTTTTTCTCTCTACAGGGCGGTTAAGCTCAATTTTGCAACAGTACAGGGTCCCCGGAGAAGTGGCACACAGATACTATATTTAAAGAAAGCACTGAATGATAAGGATGCCAGAGGAACCTTCAGGAGAAGGATATTTACTCAAAGCTTTGGGAATGGACACGAGCCTTGCCAAAGAATGTCAACAGTGTTGTTCACGACTTGCTGATCTAGGTTTCTATCATCACTGTCAGGACTAGAGAGTACTTTAAGTAATGGTATGCCCAGATAGAGGGGAGAAGTGACCACTCTGAAATGTAGACACAGAAAGTCTGAAGTCTTCTACTCCTATCCTAGGAACACAGAATTTACTACCTGTAGAAACTTGGTCAAAGGAAGGGAAAATACCAGGATGCATTCCAAAACCTGCAAGTAACAAACATATTCTAATGAAGTGGACACAAAAGACTGCTCAGCCAAAGGAACCAGAGCTAATCAAGGCATGGGCAGAACTGGCCTCAGGGATCGCCAGGGGAGATATCCTATATACCGTCATTGCACGATGAAGAGATGTAGGGTGTAGTAGTAGTGGCTCAGACTGGGTGACTGAGATCTCAACACTTAAAGGAAAGCATGCTCTTGACCACTGTGCGCAGTTGACATTATTATAGCACAGAGCACCTGGAAGGTAATGCCAACAGACCAAGCTCCTATTGTAGATATCATCTCTGGACCAGAGTCAAGCTGAGACCCAGAGAAATTGGGTAACTCAAGAATTTCTACCAAATTGTTCCTCCTACACAGGGGTCCTGGGTTCTAAACCCTGGATCTGGGTGCTATATCCAGAATCACAGACTGTGTATGAAGTCAGACCACCATAAAGATGATGATGTTAAAGCTAAGAGTTGTTATAGAGGGGGCACATCATTCAGATGAATTGTCCCAGAATAATCAAATAAGAAGTCAGTGGATACATAGACCAGGGAGATTTGACACAGAAACAATGAAGTAGAAGTTAGGAAGCAAAACTGAAATAATTTCTAAGTTTCTATGTGGGTGATTATACTTTCTTTAAACTAGGCCTCTGGAATGGAGGTGAACAGAGACCTAAGGATTCTAATAGCTGTGACAACACTCTTATAGGAGAATGAAGTAAAGTGAAATGCTTATAAACCATTTTCTTACCCCCCATCCTGCTCCTCAACCTTAATTTTATTAATGGTCAGAATGTAACTTTGATAAACCAATTTTTATGGCATTAGTAATGCTCTGTTTTGGTTCTGATAGACTGTAACTGAGACTAATGAAGCAATACTATTAATTCAATTGAGGCAATACAGTAACTATGAAGAGTATCTGTCATTCTCAAAATCTACTATATTGTGACACTTGAGTCTCAGTAAATAAAATTACTACCTGGATATAAGTTTTCATAGTTATTCTCTAAGATGGATTTTCTTACATTTAAAAATTAATGAACTCAGTTTCAAAGCTTCTCCATAGAAATTGTATCCATTGCTATTTTTCCCCAATATGATGTCTCTGATGCTGAATGAGATTTGCTGACTGGTTAAAGGCTTTCTCACACTTGTTACATTTATAGGGTTTTTCTCCTGTGTGAATCCTCAGATGCTGAGTAAGGTGTGTGCTTCGAAGAAAAGCTTTCTCACAGACTTTACACTTGTAAGGTTTTTCTCTGGTATGTATTCTCTTGTGCTGAGTAAGAGCTGAATGGTCACTGAAGGCCTTTTCACATATATTACACGTGTAAGGTTTCTCCCCCGTATGAATTCTCTGATGTTGGCCAAGAGCTGATTGGTCCCTAAAGCCCTTATCGCACAAACCACATCTATATGGCTTCACTCCAGTATGAATTTTCCGATGTCGAGCAAACGATGAATTATCCCTGAAAGCTTTCCCACATTCATTACATTTATAAGGTTTCTCTCCCGTATGAATTCTCTGATGTTCAATAAGCGATGAATTCACCCGGAAGGCTTTTCCACATTCATTACATTCAAAGGGTTTCTCTCCAGTGTGAATTCTTTGATGTTGAAGAAAACTTGTACTTTGGTGAAAGGCTTTCCCACATTCATGACATTTATAGGGTTTCTCTCCATTATGAATATTTTGGTGTTTAGTAAGGTGTGCTCTGCAGACAAAAGCTTTTTCACAAATATCACATTTGAAAGGCTTCTCTCCAGTATGTGTTCTGTAGTGATGAGAAAGATGTATGTTTCGGATAAAAGCTTTTCCACATAAATTGCATTCAAAGGGCTTCTCTCCAGTATGAATTTTCTGATGATATGTGAGGGAGGAGCTCACTGAGAAGGCTTTACCACATTCCTTACATTGATAAGGTTTTTCACCAGTGTGAATTCTTTGGTGATGAATAAGGTGGGTACTCTGGTGAAAGGCTTTCCCACATTCTCTACATTCATACCGTTTTTCTTTCATAGGAGGTTTTATATTTTCATTAGGATTTCTAGTGTGAATTTTGTGGTGTGTTTTAAGTGTTGATTTCTTTGAAAAGGCTTTCCCACATTCATTACACTCAAAGGCTTTTTTGCTAGATTGAACTCTTTGACTTGGAGTAGAAGATGAGCTCATGATGCAGTCCTTTCTAGATTCATTATATTCCCGGGCACCCGCTTCAGACAGGGTCTTCTGGTGAGTGACTGCCACTTGTGGCAAATTTATCTCCTGGTCTCTGTGCTGCTCTTCTAACAGGCTATCACATTTCCAACCACAATCTTGAGTGAATCCTTCTTTTATCTTCCATTGATCCAACTCAGGTGCAGTCATCCAGTCTGAAAGATATTAAAAATAAGAAGTCTATTTTACTTTAGTAAAACATTCTGTTAGAATGAGATGATGGACTTGTCAGTGTTGACAAGCAAGCTACCTCACTGAGGTGGAAATAAAGAAGGAGAGAGGAGAGGTGACAGAAGACTACACAGGAAGGTGCTGATGAACTCTATAATATATATACTAGATAAATCACAACTCTGTGACAATTTGTAGTACAAATTCTATTTGCATGGTGATCACAGAAAAATTACCTGTACTTTGCCACAAAAACCTTTATGTAGATCAGATAATGCTAAGAGTTCAGAAACTAGAGGTTAATACTTGGTAGAAAAAGAATTAAACTTAAGAGTAACTAACAACACTAATATTTTATGTTTTATAGACTCATTTTTGCATTTAGATGGATATAAAAAGGTAAAGTGCTGTAAAAGCAGTGTGAGATTGTCATTATCTACTAATAAAATTAAGTCATTTCTTGTTTGTGAATAAGCAATTAATATAAAACAACATAAATAATGTGAGCTTTTTATTATAAAAAAAAGACTGTTTGCTTTTCAAAGAGAGGAGCGAACTGGGGGGAAGGAGGGAAAGAAAAGAGTGCAACAATGAATGAAAATCCAAAATCTCTGTAAATGTTCATTAATATTAATAAAATAAATTTTTTTTAAAAAAAGACTATGAGGAAGTACAGTGGATAGAAAAAATGAGGAACAGGGCAACAAATAATATACTCTAATTATGTATTATATGAGGAGGAGGCCTGGATAAGTAAAAAGGAGAAAACTTATTGGTCACTATCAATGGAATTCTGCTACTGGGATAGAAGCCATGGTCCCATGAGTATTCTGACAAAATGATTCTTCCTAAAACATAAATTCCACACTTATTCACCAATCTCTCACTTGGTTTCATGGAGCTCTTGATTTTAATAGGTAAAG